ATCCACGACCGCGCCGTCTCCAAGGTCGACGCGCACGTCCGCGACGCCGAGAGGAAGGGCGGCAAGGTCCTCGTCGGCGGGCAGGCCCTGCCCGACGCCGGGCCCAACTTCTACCAGCCCACCGTCATCACGGACATGAAGAACGACATGGCCATCGCGTCCGAGGAGACCTTCGGCCCCGTCGCCGGGCTCTTCCGCTTCGCGACCGAGCGCGAGGTGGTGGACCTGGCCAACGCCGCCGAGGTCGGCCTCGCCGGCTACTTCTTCTCGCGCGACCTCGAGCGCGTCACCCGCGTGGCCGAGGCCCTGCAGGTCGGCATGGTCGGCGTCAACACGGGCATCATCTCGGACCCGGCCGCACCCTTCGGCGGCGTCAAGCAGTCCGGCTTCGGCCGCGAGGGCTCCAAGTACGGCATCGAGGAGTACCAGATCATCAAGACCATCACGTACGGCGGCATGGGCAAGCCGCTCCAGGGCAGCTGAGCCGAGCCGAGCTGAGCTCGGGAGAAGGGAAACATGAGAAAGAGGCTTAAAAATAGCAATCACGAGAGCGAGGCGGCGGTCGAGGAACAGCGGGCGCTCGGATCGGAAGCCTCGGTATATTGTACTTGAACACGTAATGGAACTCGGATGCCATGTGCACGAGATGGAACGTCGGTTGCTGTGTACTGAGTATGTCTTCCACATTTGGCAGCACTTGGCGCTTCTTCTCTTTCCTCGGCCAGCCTGTGCCGTGTCTCTGGATATTCTGGCTCTTTTCGACGCCACTCATCGCAGCCAAGACAATGCCTTCGACGTTGGCCTGTACCTATATAATCGTAAATCGTACCTGAGGCGACACAAGACGAAGCGCACAACGCCATGCTGGCCTCCCGAAAGCGGCGTTCTACCTATTCGATACCTCCCGCCCTTTCATCTGGTCCGAACACGGCTTGACCGAGAAATTCAAAGAAACTCTGCTGTTTATTATAATATAATCGAGGTAGATTGGCAGACAGGCAGGTGGTTCAATCCAGGGATACAGACCTTGGAGATCTGATGAGAGGACCGCTCTCACCAAATAGCAAGATGTCATTACATAAGCTGCAGTACATCTGAGTGAGGCAAAGATGGGCGTTCCAACACCGGGGGTATCTGCACTGTTTTCGAGCATACTCGTCGTCGCATAAGTGCCATGATCAGATGTATCAGGAGAACTATCACAATGCATGTCACATTGGCAGTATTGATGAGAGGAAGTTGAAGTGAAAAAGTCCTGTGCAGTGTAGATGTTGGCACTTTGTGCAAATACTCGAACAGTGGCTATCTTATGTTGCATTTGTCAAAAAAGCAATCGGCGCTCGATAAGTACATATCGACACGGGCCCAAATTTCAAGATCCCAGCCTCCAGGCGTTTCCAAAATCCGAGCTGGAAGCGCAGCACCGGCAGCACCTGCATCACAACCACACACATCCATCAGCAGGTGGTCGCCCCCGATGATCCGGCATCCACTGCACTCGACCGTCGGCCGCGCGGGCGCGCGGACAACAGCGGCCGACCTCAGCCGCGTCGCGGACGGCCTCGCGGCCACGGTGCGCAGCTTCTCGGCCGCGCAGCAGCGCCGGGCGGCGGACGATGACCGCAGCGGCAGCGGCAGGGGCAAGAACGACGGCCCGCCCTCGCCGAGACGCGAGCGCCTCACCAATGCCCTAGACGACATCATGTCCCTAAACCGAGACTATCGAGGATCTCAAGGGTCAACCTTGGCTCCGGCGAGAGGCGGCCGCGGCGGACCCTCCGCCGTCAAGCCGAACCCGATCAACATCGTCCTGGGCCGCTCGGCAGGCGGTCCGAATCCATCGGTCAGAAGAATAGGAGGAGGAGGCCCGGGGGGAAGAGGAGGCCTCGACGGAGGTCCCAACATCATCCGCGGCGGCTTCAGAGGGCGGGGCGGCCGAGGAGGCGACTTCCGCGGCGGCTTCTCCCGAGGGGGACGCGGCGGCCGCGGCGCACCACGAGGCGGGCGTGGCGGGCGTGGCGGGATCAGCGGGCGGCGCGACCGAGGCAGCCGGAGAGGCGGGGTCGACGACGCTGAGCTTGAAGATTTCAGCGGTGAGGGAAGAGATGAGCTCGGAATCCCACCCGAGGCTCGTGCCGAGATGGCGAAAGCAGACGATGAGGACGTCCCCCCCGAGCTCCTGAAGCAGTTCCACGAGTTCAAGAAGGAGTTCCAGCAGAAGGCCGCAGAAAAGTTTCACCCCGAGATCCGGAGGGCCATAGAAGGAGAGATTATGCCGTACGACGAGGAAGAGGCCGAGTACGAGCAGACGCGGGAAGAGGTGGAGGGCAAGGAGATGCCCTACGGGCCGGGCCTCCGCCTCGCCGACCTCGTCGGCCACGGTCCGCCGACGCCCACGAGTCCCGGCGCGTTGGTCATCCGGCAGACGCAGATGCTGCCGATGCGCAAGGAGCCGTACCCGGCCGCGACGAAGCAGGCCGTCCTGGAGGGCGCGCTGCTCGGCAAGCACGTCCCGCCGCAGTTTGCCGAGACAGGCGACACGCTCGGCGTTATCCGCAGCTACGTATGTTTTTCTTTGCACTCCCCAAGCCCCTTCGATCCGCCCAGCCAGCCCCCTCTTCTCTGCGGACCTGTCTCTGCTGCTTTTTGAAGAGGCGCTGTCGCTAACCTTCTGGACGCGCAGGTCAAACGCGAGGGCTCGTACTACTCGGATGCCGAGAAAAGAATCGAGGCCAAGGTGGCAAGCCTGCTCCCCGGCGGCGGCGGCAGCCCCGTGCCGGCCAAGTTCAACTGAGGCGGCTGGCAGGACCACGTTTGGATTGTAACATCAACCGACGGTATGTCCGCCCCGCGGATTCAAGGTGTCGAGGGGTTGAGGATAGATAGAAAGCACAGCCCACGGCCTGTCCGAGTGCTAGATCTACGCTTTTGTACCATCATAACACCCAATTTGTACCAAAACCCCAGCCTAGTGTACACGCCTGTCTAGTCGCAACTGATGTACATATATCATGGTCATAACGACAGGAAACAAGATGTTCCTCACTCCGTGAAAACTCTTTAAGTGTTCTACTCTGAATCCAATTAGTTGTTGCCGGCCCATGTTGCTATTTACCATCCGGAGTACGTACTCCGTACTATGATGTGAAAATCGCAATCGGAGCTCAGGCGGGAGAGTGTGAGAAAATGTGGGGACATATGCCGAAAGACTGCAGAAATTTGGTTATTTCTGTACGGTATCCGTACTCCATATAAACATACTAGAAGAACAGCCCCAAGCAACCAACGATGCAGGTACACACCATGCCTGCTCGGACGATTGTCCGGCGGGCAGCCTCATACCTCGAGCTTGGTCGAAGGTGAGACAACCCAATTGACCCTTTCACGAGCCTCCACTAATCTTGCGAGCAGCGGTAGCAGCAGCAGCAGCAGCAGCAGCAGCGGCGGCTGCAACCACGTTCCGCGCGCGAGCCTCCTGCCACCGATCACAGCGGCCCGCACTGCCGCCGGCGTGCCCTCACGCACTCGACATTACCACCACGCCCGGCCCACGAGCCGCTTGCTGCTCGCCAGCGGCCGCGGGAGCGGCCGCGGGAGCGAGAGCAGCAGCACCACCACCACCACCACCCGCTTCCTGCACAGCACGGCCATCGCCCACAAGAAGAAGGAGAAGAGGGACGGCGGCGGCCGCTTTGGTGGCGGCGCGATACCTCCTTCTGCCCCGCCACAGAAGGACGACAGCGGCGGCAGCGGCGGCGACGACGGCGACGGGGGCGCCAAGCACCCGGTGCCGAGCCCCGAGGCGCCCCTCGACTTCGCCGACGTCAAGTCGCGCGTGTCGCGCGCCGAGGCGCACTTCCGGGAGCAGCTGCGGCAGCAGCGGTCGGGGGGCCGGTTCGACGCCGCGACGCTGGAGGCTTTACCAGTGCCGCGGCGCAACGGCAACAGCGACAGCAGTGAGACGTACCCCCTGCGCGAGGTGGCGACCGTGGTACCCGGCGCGGGCGGCCGGTCGGTCAGCCTGCTGGTGCACGAGGCCGGCTCGGTGGCGGGCGTGATGAGCGCGGTGCAGTCCTCGCCGCTGTTCAACCAGCAGCCGCAGCGGGCCTCGCCCGACAACCCGCTCGAGCTGGTGCTGCGCGTCGAGGCGGACCGGCCCGCCGACGTGGCGGCGCGCGCGCGCGCCGCCTGCGTGACCTGGCGCGAGCGCGTGCGCACAGCGCGCCAGCGCCGCGACCGCCTGCACGCCGCGTGGCGCAAGGAGGGCGTCCTCGGCCCGGACCTGAAAGCCCGCGCCGACAAGGAGCTCGAGAAGTTAATCAAGGCGCAGCTCGCCCTGGTCGACGCCGCGGAGAAGGAGGCCACCAAGGGGGTGGCCAAGTGAGTGAGTGCCGGTACTCAGGGCGCGGCGAGCTGGGACGGGAACGCGGTGGCGGTGTGTGTCCGAGAAAGAGGGCGCGCGCTGCACAGGTCTAGCTTGGCTGGCTGGGCTACTACTTACCTACTACTCACCTCTTGCCGACCTGCTGGATTCGCCTGTGCTGCTGCGCCGGAGGACAGCGGCCGAGTCCTGGCTTCGCGGCGAGGCGTGGACAAGCAAAAGGGGCACGAGGACCTCCGGCTCGTTCTGCGGACATCCAGACATTGTGCTACTAGACGCGTGTGTACACTACGCGAGAGTGTCTGATATAAAGTGTATTGATATAGTGAGGGTAAAAAGCGACGGATGTATCGATCTGGTATTAAGAGGTCATGAATAGAAGAACCCGACTCGCCATAGAACTAAATAGCAGCCTGGATGACCGGCTGTGACCACCTAGTATTGTCTTGACTGGAGAGACTGCCGGTAAAAACAAAAAGTCCTTGGGCGGTTTCGACTCTCGAAGAGCTTACAAACACGCAATGGAATTCGATATGGAATAGAAACACACGGGGAAAAGCAATTGACCCATTGCAGCAAAAGATGAAATGTTCAATCGCCATCACAGCTAGATCTATGATGTTTTCGGCCGGGATTGAACCGGCGATCTTCTGTGTGTAAGACAGACGCCCTAACCACTAGGCCACGAAAACTGGATAGTAATTTTTTCCCTTATTGCATATTATACTGCAACACCATCTTCCACTTTGGAGAAACCCCAAGTGGATCGATCGGCAACGAACCCCTTTTTTCGCTGGGCTCGACAAGATGCCTGCTCAGCGCAGACGGTGTTTCGCAGCATCTCCTAGAGACGAAAAGGGGTTTCAACTCGGTACTCGATGTCAAATTTCGAGGGTTCTGCTTCCCTGAGTGGCGTGCGCAGTGTTGTCTACGGTACACGACGTACCCTGGCTTGGTGGAAAGATCGTGTCCCCGGCGGAAGATTGATAATTGATTCACGTCTTCAGGCCCACGACGCACGACGCACGGCAAGTTCGGGGATCGGCTGCCTACTTAGACAACCCAGGCAAGTATCTAGACAGTCACTTTAGTAGCCAGTAGACGTGCCGTGGGCAAAGTGAGTACTTCATTACAAGTTAGTGCGGATAGATGCCGGGCTTCGAGGTGGTGATGATCCAACCCGCGCATCGTGTGTCACGCCCTCCGGTAATTGCTCAGATGAAGAGAGCGATACAAGTACAAGATAGTAAGTTACAAGAATACACGCAGGCACTGTTCTGTAATTGAGCGATATATCCAGAAAGCATAGGTGCCCGCACTTGTTCGTGGCATCTTTCTACAGCGCATGGTACCGGTACATTATCTACCGTCGTTCCCTCCCTTCCCCCTTCCCAGCCCCCGAGCCCCTGCGATACCTACCTGAACTACCTACTCAACTACCGGTCTGCTATGCTATGCTATTCCAGACGCCCTACCGCCCAGTCTCCAGACCTCGAACCCCACGCCCGCGACCATGACGCGCAGCCCCCCTCGTCCGTCGCGCCGCAGCACCTCGAGGTCCCCCGCGTCCGCGACGCCGCTGTACCGGTCCTCGAGCAGCTGGGCGCGGACAACAGGGGCCGGGGCCGGGCCTGGAGCAGGCTCGTCGCCGCCGGGGGGGTTGTCGTCGCACCGCCCACCGCCGGCTGCTACTAGCCGCCAGACCTTGATGCGCTGGTCGTTGCCGGCCGTGACGACGATGACGCCGTGCGCCTCCTCCTCCTCCTTCCCCTCCCCTTCTGGCCACTGCCACTTGGCACCGCTGCCGTCCGTCGGCAGTGGTGGTGGTGCTTTTGATGGTGGTGGTGGTGGTGGCGCGATGGCGATCCCCGTGATGGCGGCCGCGTGCGCGTCGCGGATGACGCACTTGGAGCGAACGCGGACCTCGGTCTCTCCGGAGCGATGGCGGTGGTCGTCGTGGCGGTGGTGGCGGAGCTGGATGAGTGCGATGCCGAGCGCGTTGTCGTCGCCGCCCGTCACGACGAGGTAGGATGTCGTTGTCGTTCCCTCTGCCTCTGCCTCTTCTTTTCCCTTCTGCTCCCCCGTCAGACCCGCCGCCGCAGCAGCGGGACGACAGCGGACCCTCCGCACGTCGAGGGTCTTGATGCTGCTCTGATGAAGTCGCGTGACAGTGAGACCACCGGAGCATCTCTTCTCCTCCGCGGTCCCGGCTCGCGCCCTGCCTTCGCTTTTATCGTCGTCGTCGTCGGGGCCGCCATCCTCGCCCCCGCTGAACACGGCCAGATGTCCGTCCGTGGCAGCGGCGAGGACCACCCGCGGTACCGCGGCGGCCGCCGGCGCGACGAGGTGCCGCACCTGCGTGAGGCAGGCGCCCGTGTACGCGCGCCGGCCGCCCGGCGTGGGCCGGAAGCCCGCCGCGCGGCTGTATGTGTAGCTCTGCAGCGTCGAGTTGGAGAGGGCCATGGTGATGACGAACCGCGGCCCGTCGGCGTCGGCGTCGGCGTCGGCGTCGGCGTCGTCCACGGCCTTGTCTTCACCTTTGTCATTGGCCCCTTGTACTGCGGGCCGCGGCGCGAGCGGCTCGACGTCAAAGTCCATGATCCGCAGGTCGCCGTCGGCCGAGCGGTCCGCGAGCACTGCCTCTCGGACGACCGGCAGCCCGGCGACGCCACCGTGGCGGCGGTGAAGACGGCTTTGGCTTCGGCTTGCTGGTACGTGGTGTTGGTGGTGGTGGCGGCGGCGTCCGACCCGCCACACGAAGAACTCCTCGTTGCCTGCGCTGCTGAACAGGTACTCGTCGCCGCACCACCGCAGCGTCTGGATACCCGTGCGGTGGCCCTCGAGTGCCGCGACGCACCGTAGTTCGCCTCTGCCACTCCTCCCTGACCGCAGTAGTGTGTCCTCGTGATAGTCATCATCCTCATCGCCGTCGCCGTCGCCGTCTTCACTGCTGCACGCGTACTCGTACTCCCAGATGCGCACAACCGTGTCCTCAGCGCCCGTGGCCACGAGCCCGCCGTCGGCGGCGGCGCTCAGCGCGCGGATCTCGCGGCCGTGCACGCCCGCCCGCAGCGTGCGGCGCGCGCTGCGCGTCTGCGCGAAGACGTGCATCCGCGACGTCTTGGTGTAGACGAGACGCAGGCCCTCCTCCCCCGCACCGGCACCGGCGCCGGCGCCGGCGCCCGGCGAGAGGGCGGTGCACGCGAAGCTGCGGTGGGCGCCGCCGCAGTCGACCGCCGCCACCTCCTCGCGCCGCGTCGCGTTCCAGACCACGAAGTACGTGCTGCGGAAGCCGCAGAGGAGCAGCTCGGCGCTGCTTCCGCCCCCCTCGCCGCCGCTGGGCGAGGAGAGCCAGGCGCCCTCGATCATCGGGCCGAAGGGCGGGCTGGTCTCCTGCACGAGGGGCGCCGCGATCCCGCCGTCTGCGTGGATGATCTCGAAGACCCTGTACTTGCCGTCTCGGCTGGTCGTGAGGAAGCGGCCAGGGGTCTGGTCGCTGAAGGGGGTATCCTCGCGAGGGAGAGGAAGGATGGAAGTGATGGATTCCCTGAGCTTCACTTCGAATGTGAGCAAGGTCGAGTAGCCGCCGTTGTCATCCCTACGGAGAATCGCAACGAAGCCCTGCCTTGAACCGAGGATAAGATAGTCTCCGTGATACGACGCTGCCGTCGGAATGAATTTGCTATCCAATGTGAGCTCTGCACGCTCTGGCACAGAGGCATTGATATCAACACGGAGTATACTCGCTCTGGTACTGCCAAGTACGGTAACAAGCAGATCCGTATACATCTTGCCCCGAGTTTCAGTACCATAACGGACGGGTGCAGATGAGTGATTCGATTCCGAAAGACAAAAGATTTCATTTATCTTGCCATGCATCGTGGCCAGGAGCTCGAGGGATCCTCCTTCCCGATCCCGATAACAGAACAAGTCGCCTCTGACAGTGCCAATGAAAGCCATCGAAGTCGCCTGTGAGCGCGCAATCACAGCATACGATGATATGGCTTGACGGGTTTCGTCAGAGATGGCGAGTTCTCGCCACCTGACCCCATGGCCGAAGTCCGCTATAAACACCTGGCCAAGGCTTGTAGTGACCAGCAGTCTATCTTCAGTGATGAAAATATAGCGTTGGAACGTATGCTTGGCCTTTCTTATCTGGGAAGTCGAGGGGACCACTGATGGCGGAGGTGGCTCGCCTTCCTGACAGTACCGCGCGATGTCTTCTAGGGAGAATTGTACTTGGATACTCCCGGGACAATCCGAGGGGGCTGCTTCTACGGGGCTCGTATGCTCCTCCGGTGCGCCCGTCGAAGCATCTCTGATGAGGCCGATCTTGCCGTCCGCGCCGCCGGTGGCCACCAAAAGGCTTCCACCCTCGTCACAGGCCATGGCATGAGACCATATGTGCTTCCCGCTGTGGCCAGAGAAGGTTTCCTGGTGCGTCAGCTCAGCAGCAGCACGCTCGGTTCCGCCGATCAGACCCCCATCATTGCGAGGCGGCGTCGGCGATCCCGGATCCAGGTGGAGGTGCCACTTCTGAGCCGTGGCATCCTCGCCGAAGGAGAAGATCTCGAGGACGCCGTGCTCCCGCAGGAGCGCCTGTCGCGGCGGGAACCCGACCTGCCATATCCTCGAGATATGGCCCATGGCGGTCGCCACGCACCTCGACGGGCCGGTCGTCGCCGCGTCCTCCCCCGCCGCGGCCTCGCTGTCGCCGAAGCCCGTGTGCCGCGCCGTCTCTGGACGGCGACGTCTGGCCTCGTCCCGCTCCTCCTGCCCCTCCTCCACCTCCGAGACGTCCCACACCCGCACGGTGCGATCGTCACTGCAGCTCACCAGCAGTCTCTTCTTCATGGCGCGTCCGTCGTCGTCGTCGTCGTCGTCGGCCGCCGCTCCCGGGCGCGTCGTCAGCTCGGGCGACAGGTGCACGCCGAAGACGGAGCCCTCGTGGCCCGAGAGCACGAACAGCACCTCGCAGGCACCCCTGCCTCCTCCTCCTCCTCCTCCTCCTCGCTTGCTCTTCCTCGCCGCGTGCCCGTACCCCCCTTCGTCGTCGTGGTCGTGGTTGTGGTCGTCATCGTCGAGCCGGCACCTCCACACCAGGATCTCGCCGAACACCGTCCCGGCCGCGACGAGCACGTGTTGACCGCCATCGCCATCGCCTCGTCGGCGCTCCGGAGCCCAGGCGAGGTGGCCCGAGTACAGGATGGGCCGCGAGGGGGGCGACCAGACGCGGCCGAAGACGAGCGACGACTGCTGCGCCACGCCTTCGTCGTCGTTGGCGGCGGCGCTGCGGGGGGGCGGCAGCGTGGCCTCGATGACCTCGTTGTGCGCCGTCAGCAGGACGACGCGGCCATCGGCGGCGGGCGAGACCCGTCCGTCCAGGATCCAGTCCGGCGCCGTGGCCACGGCGGTGGTGTCCACCCTATAGCCGCTGCTGCTGTGGCCGCTGCTGCCGGCCCCGCGGTGGCGTCCCGACCCCGAGCCCGGCAGCCGCGCCAGCAGCAGCTCCTCGACGGCGCTGTCAGAGAAGACGCGGACTGAGCGCCCGCCCCAGACGAGGATCCGGCGCGAGGGCGGCGCTTCCGTGCTGCTACGGTCCCCGTCGTCGTCGGCGGCGGCGGCGTCCGGGTCCGGTTCCGGGTCCTCCGCCACGGCGATGCCATGGACGGGCTGGGACGTGAAGACGCGC